CTCCGAAACCTTCGCTCTCCACTTCGGAGCCAGTGGCTTCTTTGCTGTTCCCAAAATATTCACAGCACATCCCTACCGCAGGGCCTTTGCACTTGCTGCTCTCTCTGCCTAGACCCACTGTCCCCTGACATCCTCGTGCACTTAGAGTCTCTGACTGGAAGAAACCTGAGAAATCATCTGGTCCAGTGTTTCCCAAAGCATGTTTCATGAACACTTGTTTTCACTGGAACTTTCCAAATAGGGTTCCTGGTCCGGTGAGTTTAAGAAGCCCTGCTTACAATGCCCTTTTCTTAGAGCTTGGCCACTCCATGAAGGCTCTGACAAGTCCTGCAGAAAAAGAACTTGTCTGCCTTGGCTCAGCCAGGGCTGCCCAGAGTTTCTCTCAGAGCTCTTTCTTTTACAATAGTAGCATCTCACAAAACCAGGGCCGAGGGGACCCACTGTGGAAAGGGTCGTCTGCCTGACTCTTCCTTTTAGTGTATGGCTGGGGACACTGAGAGTGCCTGTCAGGCCTAGGCTGGCTGCTTGTAACTGCAACACAAAGGCTTGCAAAGATAGGTGTTTCTTTCTCTCTTTCATAAATGAAATCTGGAAATAGTTGCCAACTGGTACCATGACCAGAAGTGCTTCTCAGCCCAGCCCGGGGCCGAGCCGAGCCAGGCAGGGCTGGGAGGACAGCAGGACCCCTGAGGAGGAGAAGGCGAGGCTGGGCTGGCCTCCTGCCTCCTGCAGCCTCCCCAGAAACCGGCGCTCTGAACTTGCGAAAACACCCTGGACCTGGGAGGAGCTGGGGGCACAAAAATGCAATTCAATTCAACCATCATTTAGAGGGGACGAAAACAGCTGTCTTCTGGGCCTTTTTCCTTTGGGACCCGAGCAGAATGGCCTGGAGACCCCATCCCTTGTTCTGGGGGAAGCCCAGCCTCCCCTGCCTCCTCTCTGGGCCTGGAGCCTCCTCTCGCGGCGGCCTGTCCCTCTCACCCTTCTCCTGCTGAGCAGCCCCACTCCGTGGGTGGCCCGCTGCCCCTCAGTGACCAGCGTGGAACAGCCTTTCTGGTTCCTTCCTCCTGTCCTGCGCCACTGAGGGGGACAGAGGTGATCACAGCACAGAGCCGAACAGGTGACAGCTGCCCTCCGCACGTCAGCGCCCACCTTGCTGGACGTGCCCTCCCTAGGCCTGTATTATCACCGTCTTCTCATGCCGGAGGCCTTTCTCCTCCCGTCCCTCCGCGACCCCCGCTATATGCCCACGCAGAGCGGTGGGAATCCCCCTCCTCACCCAAACCAGGCCTCCAGGCCCCTCAGCAACGCCAAAACCACTAGGGAACTATGAAATGAGGCGACTCCAGGGACCTAGGAGGAGCCTGCGAGGACAGGGGAGCTGAGTTTCCCTTAGTGTGTCCCACATCTTATTCTTGGCAGCCCTCCCTCCTCCTGCTGACCCAGCACGCCCCGGGGCAAGGTGGGCAGGATGCGGCTCTCTCCTTCCATACAGAGCGCCGCGGGCGGTGCTGTGCTGGGTGCTGGGTGCTGGGTGCCACATCCAGCCATGCGATGCCAGTCAGCTGAGAAGTCAAGAAGGCCGGGCTCTGGGGGGAAACTTAGCTTCCTGGTTAAAGAATAAGCAGAGATGGGGGGGGGAGGGACACCTTGGCAATTCAGAGCAGAGAAGAGCTCTTCAGGTTGGAAGGTCAAGGAGGGCTTTCTTTAGGAAGTGGCACTTGAAGGGGGCCCGGCCAGATGGCTTAACTTGGGGACAAGTGGGGGGAGGGGGGGCGCGCAAGCAACCAGAGTGATGTGGTTTAAAAAAAATCTCCCAGTGCTACATCTGACAGATTTCACCTAAACCAGCCTTGCTAAATCTCAAGCCCCATGAAACCCGGTTCTGTTATAATCTCTCTCTCTTATCTCCTCCTTGCTTTCCTTTCCCATTCTCCTCCCCCAAAGGATGGGAAATCTTCAAAGAAAAAGATGTGTCACTGTTAAGTATACAGCCCAAGAAATGGGCCAGATAAATTATTAAAACACATAAAAAGACAGTGAGTCGTGGGGTGGGAGCCCTTGGAGGCTGAGCAGCCACCCGGGTGGACAGCATGCTGGTGGCCCCTGGGGAGCCCCTCTGCAGCGCACTGCCAGGTGCCCAACATCTCACCACAAGGGCCGGGCCCCAGGGCCAGGTGGGGCGGGCGTCCCAGGCACCTGCTGGGCGGGGCGGCGCCAGGGTGAAGGTGGGGGGCCTCGTGTCTGGGCTGGACATTTAGGATTTTCTCCCCCAAGACTCACACTGCTAACTGCAGAGTTTTAGTTCTTGCTTTTATCTCTTTTTGAACTGTAAGAAGAAATTCCCAAGGGGAAGAGGGGATACTTTTTTCTCACGAAAGAAGAAAGCCACGACTGGTTTAAGAAAGTAACCAACTTTCTAAGCAGTGTGAGAAAGAACTCTCGGAGTTTCGCTTTGATTTAGATGTATCCGGGCACCGGTGAGGAGTGGGGGTGAGAACCCCAAGCACATTCTGTTTCCTTTTTGGGGGTTCTGAAGGAAGGCTCCCACTCTGATTCAGAGACTCACAGCCTCTCTCCCTCTGCATTTCTCCCACTTCTGACCCCCAAATTCTGCTCTACTTTTTCCTGTTCCTACAGCTCAGGGGTTCTCACTTTGTCACTCTGCCACAGCTGGGGCTGGGTATGTCTTTGTTGTGGGTGGGGCTGCCTCATGCATGTTTAGCAGCAACTCTGGCCTCTCAATCCACAAGATGCCTCCAGACATTGTCAGATGTCCCCTGGGGGGCAAAATGGCCTGCTGGTGTTGCCTTCTAACCTACCGCATTATTTACTCATTCATTTATTGTTTCTTGCCTATCTTCCCCCACCCCAGGAGAGTATGAGCTCCATGGGAGTGGCAAGTGTCTATTTTGTTCACTGATGTATCTTAAGGGCCTTGTCACATACCTGCCACATAATATTGTTTCCAGATGGTGAACTCTCTCTCTAATGGTAGAATGTTAGCTTTGGACAACTTGATATCGTGAAAATAAGCATGGGCAATGAAATCAGCAGATTCAGGTTCAGTCCCTAATTGGGCCACTGACGAGCTGTGTGATCTTGGGCAAGTGACTTCACCTCTCTGAGTCTAATAGGTTCTCTCCTTTCTACAGTGAGTCTGCATCAGAGAGTGGTTGTGAGGGCTGTACACAAAACAGGACAATGACTGGAACATAGTAGGTGCTAAATAAAGAACTTCAATATAAGAATGACAACAGTAATATTTTCCTCTGGTCCCAGACTCCACAAATGCACCCACCCTGCCAACAGCATTAATGTACCTGCGTATAAGATCAGCCTTCATTTCCACCAAAAAAGGTGTGTGAAAGAGGAAGCTCAGAGGATGAGAAGATGAAAGCAAGACACTGTAGGATGGAGAGATTTATGACTCTGGAGGGTCACAAGATCCCAAAGTCCTTTTGAGACAGGGAGATGCTCCAGAGCTGTGCTGCCCAGTACGGCAGCCACTAGTCACATGATCACTTGCAAGGTGGCTAGCCTGGGTTGAGAGGTTTTAAGTGTAAATAAGTTACACACTGAATTTTAAAAACCTAGTGCAAAACAAGGAATGTGAAATATCTTATTATATGTTGAAATTATACTATTTTGGATATACATGTTCCAGGACTCCCTTGGACCCCAAACTCCTCAGGCGCTAAGTCCCTTACATAAAATGTTCTGTAGCATTTGCATATAACCTGGGCACATCCTCCTGTGTGCTTTAAATCATCTCTAGATTTCTTAACATACACAATACAATGTAAATACTATATAAGTAGTTGTTATGCTGCTTTTAAAAATTTGTATTTTTTTATTGTTGTATTGTTATTTTACATTTCCCCCCCAAAATATTTTCAGTCTATGGTTGGTTGATGCTGGGAATGCAGAACTTGTGTATAGGGAAGGCTGATGGTATTTTGGGTTACATAAAATACACTATTAATATTAATTTCACCTATTTCTGTTTACTTTCTAAAAATGTGGCTGCTAGAAAATTAAAAATTACAAATATGGCTCACATTGTATTTCTATTGGACAGTGCTGCTCTAGGGAGGCGGCGAAAGGGCAGAATTGAGCCTCCATTCTCCAGATAGTAAAACGGAGGCTCACACAGGGAATTCACTGCAAAGTGCAGGGCTGGTCTCCTCGCTCTGAGCTCGGGTTTCCCTTCCCAACCCACACTGCCAGGGACCAGGATGAGCTTAACACAGGCCCGCCATCCCAGCAGAGCAGGCGTCCTCTCCGAGAACCACGAAGGTGGGGTGGAACCCCTTGAAGTCGCCCTCCCCTCCGCAGAGACCTCCCCAGACAAAACAAACAAGCCCTGGGGTCTGGCGACCTGCAGGGGAGCGGAAGCCAGGGAAGATCAAAGGCCCCGCGGTTACCCCCTTCCGGCTGCGCAGCTTGGCAGTGCGCCCGACCCGGGCGGCACCCACGGCTCCCGGCGGACCAGGAGATGCGAGCGACTGGCTGACTCTCGGCTTCTGGACACTTGTCACCGCCAGGAGTGCGCTGGGCCCACACTGGCCCGGGGTGCGCTGGGGCCTCTCCTGGACTCCGAAATAAAACGCTGGAGGGGTCGTGGAGGGAGGGGGCGCGGGGAGGGTAATGAATACTTTCTGTAGAAGGCGGGTGGTGGGGAGACGGAGACAGCGCCATGCACGGGGCAGCAGGCGCGCTGCAGCTCAGGTCTCCTCTCCTGACCTCAGTTTCCCCACCTGTAAATTGGCGCCTTCAAGTCCTGCCAGGCGCGCTTCGAGGGAAGGCGCAGTACTGTTGGCGAGGGACCGGCTGTCCACAAAAGGCAGAACCCAAGAGCGTGTCTGTCCCAGCAGGCGTCCTGGACAGAGCCTCGGCCCGGCCCGGCCCCGGCCCGCGGACACGCGGTGCTCAGCCCCGCCCCGCAGCGCAGGCCCGCCGCGCCGCGGCCGCCTCGCCTTTGATGCGCCCGCCGGCATGGCGCGCGCGGGAGGCGCGGCCGCGGCGGCGGGCTGGGCTCGGCGCGCCCGGCGTCAGTCGGGCGCGGCGACGGCGGCAGGAGCGCGTCCCGGCGCCGCCTCGGCTCCGCTCGGCTCGCGGACTGCTCCGGGAGGAGGGGCCGGGCGAAGCGCGGGGCCGGCGGGCCGGGCGCATGGCTTAGGGCCGCCCCCGCGCCCCCAGCATGGGGAAACTTCACTCCAAGCCGGGTCAGTGCCCCAGCCCGCGCGCCGGCCCCCGCCCCGCCGCCCGCAGCCCGCGGTTGCTAACTCTCTCCCTCTCCTTTCTTCCCGGCTCCCGCCGCCGCCGCGCGATGGTGCCCGCAGCCGCCGTGTGCAAGCGCAGGGAGAGCCCAGAAGGTAGGGGCGCGCGGGGCAGCGGCCCCGGGGACGGGCGGGGAAGCGCCGCGGACGTGCCGAATGCCCAGCCCGCCGGATCTTGCCACCAGGGCCACCCTCCACCCCCAACTCCGGCCGCCAGTGCCCTAAATGTGCTCCCGGAGCGGCCTCCGAGCCCCCTCCTCTGCCCCTCCCGCCCACTCCCCGCGGTCCTGCGCTCCCACCGCGGACCCTCAACCCTCTCCCGCGCCCCTGCCCTTCGCGCTCGCTGCGCCCCCTTTCATACCCTCAAGCGCCTCCCCGAGACCCTGCTCCCCTCTTTCTGGCCCCCAGAGCCTTCTCCCGAGGTCTTGGCTCCTGCGCCCCCTCTCCTGACCCGCAACCCTCTCCTCCGCAGTGCTGGCCTCCAGCGCTCCCTCCTCTGATCCCCAAGCCCCTCCTCCTGGGTACTGCTCGCCCCTCTTGCCCCCTTCTGGATCCTTGCTCTTGGGGCTTCTTTGAACCCCCTTCTTTGAACCTGCTTCCCTCTCTTGGATTCTGTCTCAGATCTCGAACCCCCTTCCAGCCCGGATGCCTTTGCCCTGCGCCCTCTGCCGCGCGTACTGCTCCCCTCCACTCTCTCCGGTAACTTTTGGCCCCAGGGCCAGACTCAGGGGCTTCTTGTTGTCCCCGCTCTAGGTGACAGCTTCGCCGTGAGTGCTGCCTGGGCTCGGAAGGGCATCGAGGAGTGGATCGGGAGGCAGCGCTGCCCGGGCGGCGTCTCAGGACCCCGACAGCTGCGGTTGGCCGGCACCGTTGGCCCAGGCACCCGGGTACGATCCCCACCCCACCCCAGGGAGTGAGTAGGGTCTCCATACCTACTCACCCCAACTTTTAGACTCTCCTGCACAGCTTCAGGGTCTAAAAATCCCTTAACATGATGGTGTACACCCCTCCTCCCCCTTGGGGAACCTAAAGGCAGGCTGACACCAGTCTCCTGCCCAGCTGGGGGCAGAGGGCTGCCTGGGGGGGAGGTCCTAGGTGAGGAGGTGGTTCAGGTCCAGTTGATGGGGAAGCTTGGCTGTGCTGGAGGGGCTTGGGGGCCTGCTCTGACTTCTACCATGTTTCTGCAGCCAGCATTCAAAGGTGGAGCTGGAGGGGGGGCTAGGGTGAAAGGGGAGGTATCAGGGTGTCTGGGGGAGGGCAGGGTTGTACTGGCCCCAGGATCTTGTGATCGCCTCTGAGTATGTTCCAGTTGTCTGTGGCATTCATTAGTGCTGTCTGTCCAGGAACCCCAGTAGAGCAGGCTGTCTTCGGGGTGACAGAGCTTGGAGGGCAATGAGATCTGGCACACCCCTTACTTGGCCCACAGGAGAGAGAAGGCCTCATTATGCTGTAGCCTGGGCCCAAGCCTGAGCCTTCACCCCATGGGTCCCCAAGGCTGGAATTGTTCCCAGAGGAGCAGTTCGTGTGATGGGATTGAGTAACTCCAGTCCCAGCTCCTGGCCTGGGACTGGTGTTCACAGATGTCCTGTGAGCTCCAGAGCTCTGCACGGGCTTTCAGGTGGTCTGCGTGGAACTCTTGCAGGCTGAGGATCAAAGGATGAATCAACTTTTTGATGTGACATTTAATTTTTTTTTTAACTTAGAGGGGGAACAGACTGAGTCTTAGGTCTGGTTAGTTCTTTGGTCTTGTCCGTGGGCTGGTGAGAGGCCAGTGGAGTCTTCAGATGTGCGTGTGTGTTTGGGTGACAGGGCCTGGCAGGTCACTTGCAGGGGCCGGGTGGGAGGTGGGCCTTTGGACAAAGTGACTCCTGTGTGTGTAGGAAATAACCTCTGGGTCGTGGAGACGCTCCCCTAGCCCCTCCGCCACCACTGCTTGGCTGGGGGCTTTCTCCTCTCCATTCCTCTTCATCTGCTGGCTGGGGTGGAATTGGAGCTGCTGTCCCTTAGTAAAGGTCAAAACTTGGTGGGTGGGGGGCGCTGCCGTTGAGGCCCTTTAAAAACAGAACTACAAACTTCCCCTTCTTCCCTGACCATTTCTAGTTTTTGATCTACTTATTTATTTAAAGGCCAATGAAAACGATCCAGTTTAGCCATATGAACAAATGCACTTGCAGCTCCAGACAGAGGCCAACTGAGTGGATTTCCATTAATCAAGTTTTGGGTTTTTTTCAGCCTGTTTATTTTTACAAAGTATTCCTGCAGAATGACATTTATTTGCAGTCCCTTTTTTTTTTCCCTTTCCTAAACTGCCCGGCAGCTTGCTCCATGCTAGAGGGGAAACTTGAAATACCGCGAGGGCTTACTTCAATTGACTTTTATCTTCAAAGCCATAACAAATGTTACCCGCATGTTTTTGGTGGGTCTCCTTGGCATCCAGTCTGGGAGGATGGGAGGGAGGAGGAAGGAGAGGAAAACAAAAGTCTGTCGTTTTTAATTAAATAGTAGTGTTCCCAGCAAGAGGAATGTGAGCCTGTAAAAGTTGCCATTGGGGGAAGTGCGGGAGGGTGGGGAGGGGGCCCCGCTTAAGTCTGTGGCTTTGGTGAAGTCACGGAATTTTGTTGCCTGGTTTCTTCCCCCAGCTGAGGACAGCATGGGGTGTGCTCGCCGCCCCCTCGTCCCTCTCGTAGAAACGCTGAGGGGTCATTTATGTTTGTTCAAAGTACTTTTGGAGATGTGAGGCACTGAGGCACTGGCGTGACATGTGTCAGGTGGCTGGAGAGTGGGCCCCAGCCATCAAAGATGTTGGGGGGAGCCTCTGCCTCCTTGGGAGTTGTTCCCGTGACCGGGACCCGGACGCCTGGTTCTCACCGGCCGTGGCCCCGATGGGCGGCGGGCCGGGCTGCAGGGTGGGCATAGCACGCACGCCCTCGGGAGCCCAACAGTGTTGGGGCCTCGAAGCTATTTCTTCAGAGTTACCAATTTTTTTTTTTTTTTTTTTAGTTTTTACTGGAAAAAAATAACTAGGACATCCAACCCGTGATTTCACAGATATTATTGCTTAGGACGAAGCTAAGTTGAAAGAGACAGTCCAATGTCAAGTGGATTCAGGCAAAAGCAGCACGTGCGTGTGAATGTGGAGTGGAGTGCCACAGGCTGGGACGCTGAGCACCACGGCAGGGCGGCCCCGGCTCTGGCTGCGTTTCCCTGGTTGCCGTCAGCTCTGAGGTGGCTGGCAGGTTCTCCCGTGGAATCATCGAGATGTGGGAGGGCCTGGGCGCTGCTGGGGCCGGTGGGCTGGCAGAAGTCCTCCAACCAGCCCCACGCCTGTTTTGGGGATCTGTCTCTACTCCTTTGCCTGGCCTGTCACCAGGGTGGCTGGGGACACATTAGTGGCTCATCCAACTGGCATTATTGTTACTGCAACGATAACACTATTTATTGAGTGTCTGCATGTGAGCAGCACTTTGCTTATGTTATCTTAATCTTCCCCATAACCGTCTAGAGCTGCCAGCCAGCTGGTGTGGACTGTGTCCCCCCTCTCTGGAGCACTTTCTAGGACGAGGAGGCCGTGTGTGGGGACGCCCTATACTGGAGCGTTGGCGCGGAGGGGCTTGCATTTACTGATTCCTAGAGAGTTGGTGCTCCAACCAGCTGGCCAGCTACTGAACGCTTTGAGATCAGCTGGTTGGGGCAGGCAGAGGCGAGAGTGGCTCCTGCCTGCCCGCCTCCTCCCCGACAGGGTCTGAGAAGCTTGGTAAATGTTTGGGTGGGGCCAAGTTGCGTGCAAGGTCCGGGGGTGTGAGAGGGTGACCGCACTGGCACTAAACTAAGCCTGTACTCCTAAATACAGAAATAAATGCAGTCAGGCTCTGTCACGATTAGTTGTCGCCTTGTGCAAGCCATTTGATCTTTGTATACCTCAATTAGCTCATCTGCAAAATGGGTGTAATAAGAGTCTCATCCCTTGCAGGGTTATGGCAGATAACTCTTCAAAGAGAGTGGAACCTGGGAAGGAAGGTACTGGGAGGTTCTCTGAGGCATTCGTAGGGGTGGAGATGGAGCCCCTAAGCAGGGAGGGGTAGGGGTGGGATGATGAAACCAGAGGCTCTCTGCCCCTTTCCCCTACGTGACAGGCTCACATGGAGGGACACAGGCTAACGCCTGGGCTTCTGCCCTTTCCATGGGGACATGGTGGAGTCCCAGGGAACATGAGCTCATGGGAGGCGTACAAGTACCGTGAAAGAAGACCAGTAAACGGAGCAACACGCATGGCAAAGGACAATGTGCTAGACAGAATTGGAGGTAAACTAAGCACAGTGATCTCAAAGATACTGGAAACATGAAGCTGCAACAGGCACTTACAAAAGAAAATCAATTGGAAATGCCGGGCATGGAAAATAGAACGAATGAATAAAAAGCGTAATAGATGGATTGAATAGCCGAATGGAGGCAGGCATCAGGTAGGAGAGCGCTTGGAGGGGCAGAACCTGCGTGTGGACGTGTGTGCATATGTGAATGCGTACAACCAGGTTTAAAGCAGCCCCCTCCCCACCCCCTGGGCTGCCCCTCTTGTTCCTTTGTAGCAGAGGTGCCTCAAGAAATAGGCTGAGTCGTGGTGCAGGCGAGCCCACCTCTGGATCAAAGGCGGCTGCCAGGCGGTTTGGTAATTTGATTAGGGGCACCTAGTACATTTTGATGTTTGGGGAAGATTAGGAGGGTGCAGGCCCTGTTGGAGCCCGGGGGGACGTGTGGGGCTGGGTGACAAGCTTGGAGGCTGGCCCAGCTGCTGCCCGAGTGCGGATTCCAGGGGAATTACCCTTGAATGATACCAGTTGGCACAATTAAAAGGCCCCATGTCTTCCCCATATGGAAAGTGTTAGGCTTCTTTACGTGGTTTCAAAGCTATGTGCTGGGAGGTGGACTTGACATTTGAGGTAGAGCATAAATATTTGGTGTTTCAGAATTAAAAGATGGTTTGCTTTGGGGACGGACTCGGGGTGCAGGCGTTTGGGCCTCTGCTGGCTGGCGCTTCTGAGTTCTCCATGGAGGGCCTGCCCGCAGGCACCCAGGGCCAGACCCATGGCCCGGCCTGGCGCTGTCTGTGCTCTGGGGAGTGGGCAGCAGAGACCGGGAGAGCTTGAGCTGGGCAGAGGACCAGGCGGCCTGCTTTTCAACAGGTCGGAGTCCCTCAGGATGGGTGGGTGGCAGGGCAAAGAGGTCCCCTTCTTAGTGCTTTAATTTGTCTTTGTGCTGTGATCTCTGGCAGAGGCTTGAGGAGTGTCTTGGCTTCCCTTTGAAACTTTTCTTCTTTGTAAAGGAGGCTGGATCCCCCCAGCCAGGCTGTGTGCCATCTGTCCCCTAGAGCGCAGGGGACAGAGTTCGGGATCCGTCGCCCTCTGCATTCACGTTTCGGTGGGAAACCTAGGGAAAGGCGAATCCAGGAAGCATCCACTGTGTGTCCTGCAAGGTGCTAGAGCTTGGGGGATGTTTCCTCCCCTCGCCCAGTGGGGATGTCGGAAGGGAGGAGACGGTGGGGATGGAAGGACGGACAGTGCTCTGTTTGTACCAGGAAGCTCGCTCTCGGGGACCAAACTGTCCCCGTGTGGGCTTCAGGGCTGAAGTGTGACAACAAAAGGGTCGCTTTCTGAATAACACTTCTCGCTGTGGTCTCCGGGCACGGAGTAGACACTCGCCATGCGTCAAAGGGTGGAAGGAGGGAGGCAGGGAGGGAGGAAGATGGACTGGGTCACCGCCCCCACCTCCCCAGCCCCTCTGCCCCACAGCTTCTCCCTTCACTCCTCCTCCTAGGGCCCATCTTTTTCCAGGTCCCACTGTCCAGAGTGGAAGAGCAGAACCAGGCCTTTTCTTTTAGGCACTCAGCTCAATT